GAGCAGAAGTAGGAACAGGGCTGAGGAAGATGCAAGCTTCCAGCATGAAGGCTCCTGCTGGCTGCTGATGCTGGGGGGAGAAAAATGTGGGACTCAGAGACAAGAGAGAGGGCAGGGCTAAGCTGAAGATAGTGCACCCCAAGGGATCCCCAGGCTCAGGGAGCTGAGACACAGAACACCTCTGAAGCAGCAGAGAAAACAAGCCCAGAGGCCATTTCCCTCCCTCCACGCCCAGGCCCAAGTTAGGCCAGGCAGGCAGCCCAGGACAGGGCAGATGGCTCAAGGTGGTAGAGCTGCATGCTGGGAATTATGGGTCCCCAAAAGCAGCTTCCAACTCTACCTGTTGCTGCCTAAGAGGTATGAAAGGGTGCCATGACTCCCCAAGAAGAGCTCTCTCTCCTCAAGGGATGGTCCCAGACAATGCCTCAAATGCCATTGCCAGGAGCCACTCCTGTGGGCTGAATCCACCTCTATCTTGAGTCTACTTTGTCTGGTCCCCTTCCTTCTGCCTAGAGAAGAGAGCAGAGCCAGTGGAGGACAGTTTCCCACTGGGGTAGAGTCATGAGCACAAGCCAAGGGCTCTACCATGTGTCCTGGGGCAGTCCCAAATATCTGTGGGGAGGCTGCTTTCCTTCCCCAGGACCCCAGCATAGGTCATTTGGGAGTCCAAGGTGGATACCTTTTGGCCCAGCCTGAATGCCATCTTCTGGACAGTAAGACACAAGCCCCGCCTGGTGGCAGATGCACTGTCACAATGAAATGCTGTAGCAGCCCACACAGTGGGTGCTAGAGCATGGCTGAGTGCCTCACTCTGGCTGAGTAACCTGGCAGGTTGGAGGGCTGGGCTTTGCTGATTTGCCCTCTTCCCAATTGCTTCCCTTTGCTGATGGGGGCGGGGGTGGTGGTGCATATGTTGCCTACTTGAGCCCTCTGCCTGGCCAGCTTGGGGCTCAGTGGCTGTCAATCTCAGTAGCACATGCCTGCTATTGGCCACTGTGATGTATGGCGCCATTCTTGGAGCTGGATCCAGGGATGAGCCTATTACATCTATGGCATGGCTTGATCCACCCAGCAACTCACCAGTCACCCCCACTTTACAGATGGTGACAGCTCAGGAGAGGCAGAGCTGGGGCTTGAATTCACACCTGGCTGACATCAAACTCTGGGCTCTTTACCACCAAGAGGCCTAGGGTACCCTAGGTAGCTTTATTTTGCTAGCCCCTGCCATCCCTGCAGATTCCTCTATCAGCCTTGGCCATTCTTGCAAGACCTTCTCTGGGTGGGGCTGTAGGGTGCAGTCAGGCTGCTGGGTGTTCACTGGAAAAATATGAATAGAGAGGTGAGATTAGCACCATTCTATAGATGGGGCTCAGCAAGGCCAAGTTTCTGTCCTAACATCAAACACATGCAGGGCTGGAGGAGTGACTCATTGTGGATCACTTGTCTAGCATGTATGAGGCCCTGGTTTCCATCTACCATCTAAACAAAAATGTGAAAATCAAACACAGAAATTCAGCCTGACTCCAGAGCTTGATGTTAACCATTTCACCAAGACACTTCCCTCTCAGGAAGTCCTCCCTGATCTGTGCTTTGACCCTGACAACTTTAGGGAAACATTGGCCTAGTCTCCATATACTGACAGTCATGTAACCACACTTGTGTTTAAGTTTAACCTCATCTAATCTCCCTGATGTGGTGGCCAAGGACTCGAAAGCACAGAGGTTATCAACATCTCCACATCTATCCTCACTCTCTGAGAACGTCATCCTGAGTTGTTCAGTGCATAGTCTGTCCATCATGTCATCGACTGAGCTCATACCTGGGGACACAGTAGGTACGTTATCTGTTCAATAACTGTGATCACCAAACTGCCTTGCATCAAAACCTCCTATTGCTATCAGCCCTTTCCCTGTGTTATTTCACTGAATCTTCAGTCAATGCTACCAAGAATGCTTCGCCATTCTTCAGGTGACAGAACAGTCTCTGAGAGGCCAAGCAACCCTCTTTCCCTACCAGGTTGCGCAGCTAGGAGGGTGGGAACAGATCTCCTCTAGAGCCTTCCTGCTGGGCTGGACACTGTCCTCAGCAACCTGTACCACCAGGCCTGACCCTGTCATTAGTTCAGGTGTGAATACCAGCTCCCACACCTGTCATTAGGAACTAGGGCAACGGGAGCAACAGGGTTCACACCCTGCCCAGCCCCTCCCCAGTTTCAGCTGCTAAAAGGCTGGCAAAAACAGGGAGGAGCAGGTCCCTTGACAGCTCTGTTCACGGATCAGCACTTGTGTGATCTTCAGTCTTTGACTTCCGGAGTGTAAAGTCCTGACTCAGGGCTCCTGCATCTCCAGGCCCAGGAGGATAATCCTGGCCTGGGCACTTTCTGGGTGCTGGAGCATTGTTTTTCCAATCAAACTTGCATGGGAGACATTTATCACCTCCCCTTCTTTGCAGATGGGGAAACAGGCACAGAATCATTCTGCAAAGCCAGAATTAGATGTGACAAGCATGTATTCCCAGGGCCCAGGTTTCTACCCATCTCACCATGCTGAACCTCACTACAAATCTCACCCACTCCAGGCAATGGAGAAGCCCCTAGAAAACTTGCCAATGAGCCTAGCACTCCAGGAGCATGAGGGAGGATTGCAACTTCAAGCCCAGTCTGGGCAATTCAATGAGGCCCTACCTCAAAAAATTAAAAATGCCCTGGAGATATACTCAGTGGGAGGGCCCCAGTACCTAAAAAATAAAAAAAAAAATTTTTTTTTTTTTGGTGGGCGGGATGTGTGTGTGTGGTTCCTCCAAGCCAGTGACTACAGTTTACTTAGAGCCACAGTTAACTTCTGTGATGTTTGCTCCAGGGCTGCTAGTACTAGGCAACACTTGAGAGATTCCTGTTGACAGAATAGGGCGCTGGGCTGCCCCATCCCACAAATGGGGGTTCAGAAACTAGGCTCTGATCTAGTAGACGACAAAAGGAACCCCTGGTCCCTACCCACTGTTGGGGCAGTGACAGTGACCATCCTCAGTGCTAAGGTGACGGCAAGGACACAGAGTCCACACAGCCTTTAGCCTGAGTGGGCGGGTGTGGGAATGCTTTCTGGAGGAAAAAACCTCTAAGCAGAGATCTGGGGCCAAAAACTGTCAGCCAAGGACAGTGGGTGTCTGCCCTAGCTAGGAGGCTACAGGACCCCGTGTTCTTGCCCCCAGGCCCTCAGAGTCCTGCTCTGGAAATGATAAAGGCCTTCCTTCCTCCCCTCCCCAATGGGTGGAGAGGAGGCAGAGGGCAGGCCTGGCCCATGGCCTGGTGTGTGGGATCTGCATCCTGGGGAGGGGAGAGGGAAGGCGGAACATCACAGTTGTGTGGGGCTGGCACACAGCATCCGATTGTGCAATGCCCTGGAGAACAGCACGGGACTGGACCTGACCTGGGCTGGGCCTTGAGTGCCAGCTGGACCTGCCATGAGCACAAGGGTCCAGCCAAACCCCTGGGGTGGGGAAGTCCTGGGGCGGGGCGGGGGGGGGGGTGGTGTCCCTAGTTGCCAACAGCCTCAATTTGTGATCTGGGCAAGTGGGATCCCAGGGCAGCAGTGCTTCCACAAGGACCAGAACTCTGGGGCCAGTGCTCATACTCCAGCTTGAGTGCCCAGGGCCACAGCCCAGAAGGTGGGGTGGGCTGGGCTGGCCAAGCTTGCACTGCAGGGGCACATATAAACCCTGACTCAGAGTCTCCTAGGGTAGGGGGTGTAGGGAGATGATGAAGGGTTCAGTGGGGACCTCCTACCTAAAGGCAGCTTGAGATGCAAACTCCTGGCCTAGTGCCCACCTGCCTGGAGTTCCACGAGGGGAGCCCCTACCGATTTTCTAGTGGAGGTGGTGGGGAAAGGGTGAAGTCCTCACCCCTCTTTCAATCTCAGCATCTCCATGAGGCTCCCCCAAACCGGTTATTAAGTGAACATATCAGGCTTATCAACAGGACCGTGGGCTGCTCTCAATGCAAACACATCAAGACATGTCATTCCCTTCCCAGGCCACCCTGGGAACCCGCAGCTCACAGATACCGCCAGTTTCGGAGTCAGGGAGTAGAGGGGAGAGCCACACCCCTGACAGATCCCGACACCGCCCAGCTGCCTGGTGCAGAACACGCTGTCCAGCAGGCAGGGGTGCCTCTTCTGTGCCTCCCTCCTATAACCCGCACTGCCACCACCTCTGGGCGTGGATGGGGCGCAAAGAGGTAGGGGCCAGGCCTCAGATGGCTCTCACCTCTTAACTCCCCAAAGCCAGGAGCACCTGCGCGCTCTCCAAAGCGCACTGAGAGCGCCCCCCCTCGCGCTGTTTCCAGGCTCCAGTGTGTCTTAGACCCGGCGCCTGCGGCGTCCACGCCTGGCGGTGCTGCCTCCTTCCGACGCTTCATTCCACATCCCAACGGCGATTCTCAGACTCCCAGCTAAGGATGATCCCAGGACACCCAAGTGTCCGGTACCCCGCCCCCCAACTCAGTTCCTCGCTGTCTAACCCCCGTAGTATTCCCTGGTCTTCTAGGATCCCCCGGTCAGACTTGGATGCCCCCTCCGTGAGCCCCTAGTTAGTTTAGGCTGCGCTTCCCAGCTCCTGGAGGTCCTGGCCCAGCGTTCCCGCGCGTCCCCGACTCCGGCGTCAGTTTCCCACGCCCAGTCGCCTCTAAAGCCTCGGGCGATGGTCCCCGGCGCGCGGGCCCCCTCACCTCCGGGTCTGCGCCGTGGGGCTGTATTTGCCCTTGTTTCTCCTCCTGAAGAACGAGTTCATGGTGGGGCGCGAGCGGCGGGCACAGGTGAGCGGGCAGCACGGGAGCCCTGAGTGCGGGCAGCCGCGGCGCAGGGCACTACTCGCGGCGGGGCGGAGCGCGCGGCCTCTCTCTTGGTGGCCGCTCCCCGGGAAGGTGGCGCCTACCTTCCTCGCGCAGGCGGGGCTACAGCGCAACCCGAGCGAGGGCGGGGTCCCCAGTGGGTGGGGACGCGAAGTGGGCTGGACACTGCCCCGTGGGCAGCCCGGGGACTCCACGGGCCCTGTTCGTGCAAGGGCTCACGGCGCTCACGGGCGAGCGCGCAGTCCCGCCCGCCACGCACCTGCGGCCCGGCGCGCCCCCTGGCTGAAGGCGATGCCCGGTGCTGCGCTGCCCCTGGCCCCGTGCGCTCCGCCTCCTTTGGCAGACACTGAACTGGTTGCCCAGGCAGGTGTGGCTGAGATGGGGTGTGGTGAGTGTCCTGCCCCATGGCTGGTAAGTTACCTCAGGTGGTAGCAATGAGGATGGTGACTGAGAAAACGCGGCTCTTGAGTGCGCTGGTGAAGCTCTCATCCTGCCACCGCTCTTGGTCAGCTGAGACTCCTTTGAAAGACATTTTATTGCTTTCAGCTTCAGTTTTCTTCTTTGTCAGAGGGTGATAACTGCACCAGCACCTCAAAGGACAGTGGGGAGGTTTCTGCCGACAGTGCACACAAAGCTGTTGGCACAATGTCCTGGCCAGAATATTCTGGGAGCTTGACTACCATTATCAGTGAGGCCATCTAGGGCATTTAGAGTTTTTTCAAAGACAAAACTTTTTCAAAGACTAGGCCATTTAGAGTGTTTTCAAAGACAAAAACTCTTAGAAACGTTCATAACTCTAGGACCTGGCACGATAGTGGTACTTCATGGCTGGTCACAAAATTTGCTCGATTCTGGTTCATAATACCCACAATGCACAATTATGCTAGCCTGGGGGTGGGGGATGGGAGGCTGTGGCTGGCTGACAATGTGGAAGCTTGCAAATTGGACAGAAACAGAAAAGGAATCTGGGTAGGAGCCATGTGGGGCCCACAGCTAGGGGCTCAGGCCACTGGAAAGCAGGGTAGAGAGGGGTCTGATCTTAGCTGGGATGGGAGAGCTGACAGTCTCTCCAGAGACATCAGAGGCAGCTACATATTGTATGTTGAAAGGGGCATTAGAGCTTCAACGGGGAGCAATATAGTCTTGGGGTAGTGGGGAGACAAGAGCCCCAGACAGGGTGTCCAGCATGCTAGATTCAAGTTCAGCTGTCTGGACCTTTGATCACTCCCTTGCCCACCTGTTCTTATATTTATAAAATAAGAAGACTGAAGCCAGGTGAGGTAGTGTATTCCTATAATCCTAGTACTATGGGAGGCTGAAGCAGGAGGATCACAAGTTCAAGGCCAACCTGGGCAATTTAGCAAGACCCAGTCTTAAATTTAAAAAGGCTGGAGATGTACCTTAGGGCAAAGACCCTGACTTCAAGATCCAGAACTGGGGGGAAAAAACTTGGTGAGGAATTGATTCCTAAGGACTTTTCCTGCCATAGGCCCCAGATAGTTCAGGCTACTCAGCATCCTTGAGGCCATCTCTTGACCCTGCTTCTGAAGGACAGTGATTTCCAAGTGTGGTTAAAGACTCTAGGAAAACTTTATCCTTTTCAGGGCTTCTAAGTGCCGACTTGAGGGTGTGATTTCCCCTCGTCACTTCCAAATGCATTTTTCTGGGGCAAGGTTTTGGCGAAGTCCTTCATTCTTCCCCTCCGTTGAAGACATTTAGCACCTATCCTGACCTGGTCTGTCTGGCTCTTGGGAGTGAACTCAGTTATTCACAATGAATTATACTTTCAGGACCCTATTACCTTTTAAATTTTTTGAGACAGGGTCTTACTAAGTTGTGAAGTTGCCCAGACTGTACTTGAACTTGGTGACCCTCCTGCCTCTGCCTACTAGACAGCTGGAATCACAGGTGCACACCTCTCTGCCCAGCTGGGAGCACATAGAATTCACAAATAAACCCATTCATTTGATTTTTTGAAGAGAACTGGAGATGCAGGACAATGCAGGACTCTCCCACCAAGCCAGAGGCAGTGGTCTCAAAGCCATTGTGCATAAAAATCTCTGAGGCTGGGGAAGGTTGTAAAATGTAGAATCCAGGGATCTCCCACCCTTGAGGTCCTGCCTGGGGAGTCTGGGAAGGGACCCAAGAATCAGAAGTGTTGTCAAGTCCTCCTGCCACCTATCTGAGAAGCCAGGAGAAAGAGAACCTGTCTGTAGCCTTCCAGCAGAAAAAGCTATCCAGGAAACCTATCATCCACCCTGCTTTAGCTCTTCCTGGCTTTTTTCTCCCAGCTGCCCTAGGCTAGTGTTCCTTACTGGCAAGTATGGGCTGAAGCAGGTCCTTTGCTTCTAAAGTGACTTCCTTTCCGGGATTTGGGCACCTCCAGGGTGCTGGCCATGGGAGGAGTCAGAGAGAAGCCAGGGTTTTAGAACACAGGTATGTGTGGTACAAGTGGTGAGAGCTGGAAGAGTAAAGCCTGAGCTCTACCCACATAGATCCTTCCTCACGTAGGGGGCTGCATAGGAACTCTGCCTATGTCGCAGTGCCTGCCCTGTAACTTCCCCTTAGTCTCCTTTCCCTTTCCCTACAGGGCAGCTCTCTAGCCCGAATTCCATCACTGTGACGTCTGTGCTGAGGAGGAAGCTCTGGAACCCACCTGCAGCCACAAAGGAAGTTGGTTAAATTGCCCAGGGTAGGTGCACATGGGGAAGACCTCACAGATGGAAAAGGAAAGTGGATAAATGGACAGAGGATGCATCCAGGGCAAGGGCCAGAGGTTGAGTGCAATAGAGAGCAGGGCTAGTTTGTGCTGGACAGAGAGAGGGAGAGGGAGGAGGGAGGAGAGGGAAGAGATGGAGGATGTGTACAATACACTTTTGTATACGTAGGTACTTCTAGAAGGACCCACAAGAAGCTGTTAGCTGTTTCCCCTCAGGAAAGACAAGATAGAAATCTGAGTTTTCACTGGGGAATGAAGGCAGACAGCCTAAATAGACCAGGTTTGAGACCCTGCTTAGTCCCTTCCAATCATTTTCCCTCTCTAAGCCTATTTCCCTCACTTGAGAAGTGGGCAAGTAGGGTATCAGCCACACCGAGTGAGATGCTGTGAGTTAAGCAGCTAATAGGGCCCTGGTGATGGGAGGGGCCTTAGCAAAGGGGATGGGACGGTATCGGGTATCTGAAGCCAGAGGATTTTTGATAATGTGTCCGCTCAGGGTACCCACTGTACAGGAGTTACAAACATGGTCAAAACACAGGCTTCTGGGAACTTTGAAGCCCTCTTTCGCACAATAACTGGGAAAGTGAAGATGGGTTTGAAAAAAAGAAGCTGGACCCTTCTCAAGGTTAGCAGACCTGTAGCACAATCATTGAATAACAGTGATGACATTAATAGTGGCGATGCCATCTCTTGTCATCAAGGGTAGACTCTGCCAGGCCACATGGCAGGTCCCCAACATGGCTCCGCTGGTTGGATTTGCTCTGCACCCAACAGGTGGAGTAGGTGAAGTGGGCCAGGGCCCTGTCTTGGAGGTAGCTGGCTCTTGGCTTAGTCTCCAGTGCAGGGAGCCCAGCTGTGAAAGGCATGGTACCCAGCTAGGCTGGTGCATGATCAGCCTGTGTGAGCTCTGCTCCCACCCTACCTGCAAGGAGGGGGGCTGCTGGACTTGTGCTGACTCCACTGGTCCTGATCCAGGACTGGTAGTGAGAATGAGCAGATTTGGGGAGAAATCCAGCTGTGCCCTTCCATCCTCCCCTGTCCATACTATGAAAATTGGGCTCAGAGCTGATGTGGTTGTGCAAGTGTGCTTGGGCGTGTGCACACGTGTACACCACACATCTGGGGGCAGGCCGAATGGGGTGGGATCTCTGTTCTTGCAGTGCATCCTCCCCTGGGCAGATAGCATGTGTTCGGAGCTGAGGAGGCCTCTACTGCTCGGTGACTCATCCGCTCCGTGGCCCTGAAAGTGAGGCCTGCTGTTCCCTCACGATGCCTGGGAGGGTGTCTGTTGTGGGTTTGCTGCATGACCTGGTTAACCCCTGGGAGATGGCACCTGCAGAGCTATCCCAGCCCCTGGCATCCTGGTGACTCTCAGCCCCTAAAACCTGTCCCCTTTCTGCAACAAGATCTAAAGGATTACACAGCCCTCCTGTTTGCTGTCATTGTTCCCCAGGAGCTGGAGAGGTACTCACTTGGGGATAGCTAGCAAACCAGTTTAGAACCAGAAGGGCGGCATTCCCCCAGCTCAGAGAGGTGAGGGTGTGTGGGAGGGCAGGGGCCTGTTCCTCACTGGGCGGATCCAGCCTTTTCCTCACCTCCTGTGGAGGCCCAGGTTCATGCTCTGCAGACATCTTCTCTTCAGTTCTGTCCTACCCCTATCTGGGAAGTCTTTAAAAAGTGCAGATTCCAGGGCCTCTCTGAGATTATGGTTGTGTGAGTAGGGTCCAGTGTTTTTGCATTTTGGAAAATACTTCTCCCATAGGATCTCTGAATCACCCAGAGAAACACAGCTGTGGACAGAGACAGACAACTGGGTCTGGCTTCCACACAGCTGGGAAAGCCCAAGTCTTTAGCCCAAAGCCAACTAGATCTGAATCCTGGCTTTGACATGTACCCAGCTGTGTGACATTAGGCAGGTGGCTTCACTTCTCTGGATCTCGGTTTCCCCATCTGCAAAAGGGGAAAGAGCCAGTGTATAGCAGTGTGCAAAGTACTGGCATTGAGGTCTTTCTCCTCCTGCCCTCCCAGAGAGCAAGGGGGCCTGGCCCAGTTTCACCCTGTGTTTTGTAACATGTTTACTTTTCTTGCAGGACAAAGCAAAGGATGGAAAATCATGCTGGCTCTCCAGCTTACACGGCTGACTCACTGGGGTTGGGCTGGGGGCCAGTGAGTTCCCCCAGCAGTCCCCTGGGACCAGAGAGGAGGCTTGGCCCTGGCAGAGGACAGGAGAGGGTCTGCGGTGACTCATGCTCTGCCTGCCCCTGAGTCATCCCAGGAAAATGTGCCTTGGGACCTCACCCACCTGGGCCCCTGAAAGCCTATTCCAGTCTGGCCACCTTGCCCTACCTATAGGGTAACCCCAACTTGTTGCCTCCCCAGGAAGTCTTGCTCCAGTGACCCCATGCTGGTCCTTCCTAGATGCAGTTGTGCTCCTGTGTGGTCAAGTCTGTTCTCAAAATACTGCAACAGTCCCTGACTTTATTGAGTAGTAGCTGCTCTAAGCCTCAGCTGCTCTGGTTCTGCCCCCCAGGACCCAACGATGGGGTTTAACCTTCTTTTGTCTCAGCAGGGTCCTTCTGGGCTCTTCCTCAGCCACAGGCTGGAGTCCACTCTGGCCACACAAGTCACCACCTGGCCTTGCAGACCCAGGCCTCAGGTTTCAGGCATCTTATCTCTAACCGGGTTGCTTCCAACAATCTGCTGCACATCCCCGGACACCTCATCTCAGGCGTCGCCCTGGGCCTCTCAGACCAGTCTGCAAAGCCTGCCCAGAGAGGAGGTCACCCACCCTTTCAGGCCAGATGGAGCTGGGTGGGGCCTGGCAGGCATGCCAGGCCTGGGATTTCTGCAGGACAAGCCCAGATCAGTTCCCCCACTCCATGCCCAGGCTGCGGGCTCCCCACTGCCTCTCCAGTCCTGCCCAGCTCCCACTGCTCGGACCTGTGGGGCTGCATTCTAGGACTAGGGCCAGGGTGTGACTGACCCTGAACTGGCCCAGGTCAGCAGGTCAGGACCCCATTTCCTCAAGAGCCTGGAGGCCTCAGTGATGGATTGGATGGGCCATGAGACTTGACTTGACCATGTTCTAGGCTGTGTGATCTTGGAAGGTTGCCTAACCTCTCTGTGACCTTGGAGACATGGCCTACCCTCTCTATAAAATGGAGTTAGCTAGTGAGCTGAGCTGTTAAACCCCAGCTGCTCCATTTTCTAGCTGGATCACCCTGGGCAAATGTCTTTGCCTCTCTGAACCTCAGCTTCTCTGTCTATAAAATGAGGACATGGACTTCAGCTTCATAGTGTCTTAAGGACTCAGTGAAGTAAGACAGGAAATAATGACAAATAGTAACAATTTTGTCGAATGTTTACTGTGTGCCCAGCCCTGTGCTATGGGCTTGGCATTATCTTTCTAGCTTTGTTGAGATTGCATGTGACGAAGAGCCCATTCTTAACTCATATGATTTGTGAGCTCTGACGTAATCACACAGCCATGAAACTATTACCATAATGAAGGGTTACAACTTTCCTGCTTCCTCTTACCAGTTTGCACTGTGGCCACTGGACTTCCAAGACACGAAATGCCTCTGAAAGCCATCTGAGAGGACTTGGGGCTCAGATTCTTGTCCTCACCACTTGCTGCCAGCAGCAGCCAGTGTGGAAGTCAGCTCAAGGTCTTGTTGAATGAATGAGAGGGTCAGTGCACCATGGTTGCCCAGAGGAAGGCCAGGCAACGGCTTCTGGTCCCTGAGCCAGAACTCTGATGGGAGTGAAGGGCTTTGTTTGTCTAGTCATTCATTCATCCAGTATTTATTGAGCATTTATTATGTGACAAGTCCCATTCTAGTCACTCAGGACTCCAGATCCATAGATTGGTCGTGGGCCTTCAATGAGCTCGCTGCAGAGGATGGTGAGATGGTGCAAGTTTGAGGCCACATGAAGGTGACTCTTCTTGGTCCTCAAGGTCAAGCACTTCTAGCTAAGTGTGAGGTGTGCCCTCAGGTGGGGGTCTGAGGACACTGAGGGAAGTAGTTAGACCCAAGGCTGAGGGTGATTGGGATCAGTTGAGAAAGGGGAGACCCTCCCTTGCAAGGATCTCGGGGGTCCCTTATTCTGTTCTACATCAGTCATTTCCATGGCAACCAGGCTCCTCTCACCCATAGTGCTTCACAGCGCCTCCCTTAGAGGATACAGTGACAAACAATCTTATATTCACAGTGCCTCATCTGGGAAGGGGAATGAGGCAGAAAGGCAGACAGCCACATTTTAAAAATGAAATAGAGCCAGGTATAGTGTGCATCTGTAATTCCAGCACTCTGGGAAGCCGAGGCAGGGTAATTGCAAGATTGAGCCCAGCTTGGGCAACTAACTTCATGACTTCAGAAGACCCTGTCTCAAAAAAAAGTAGAAAGTGGGCTGGAGATGCAGTTCAGTGTGAAGACCCTGCATTCAATTCCTAGTACAGGGAGGAGGAGCAGGATGAAGAGGAAAAGGGAGAGCAGAAGTAGGAGGAGATGGGAGAGGAGAAATAATAAATGGCCCAAGTGCCCACTAGTGGGGGAGAGGGAAGGCATGACCCAGCCTCCACAACTGGGACAAGTGGACAGGCTGGGGAACGTGGGGTCTGTAGGTCTCAAGGGTAGAAAGGCTGAGACGTGGGCAGAGGGCTGCTGTATTTTTGTTGATTATGACTTGAAATGGAGCTGCCCATGTTCTCCGTGAGCACGCTCTCCCCGCAATGTCCTGGCCCTTCTGCTTCTGCCAAGGCCCTATGCCCATTTTGACTGCTGAGGTCAAACATTCCTGTCTGGGACCCACTGACCAAGCCCCCTCCCTGGCATTGTCTGTTTCTGGCTCAGGCTTAATCCCCTGCCTGGACGAGGGCCCCAGGGACATGAGTCAGTCCCAGTCAGCTCTGGACAACGATCCCTCCTCCTGGCCTTGGGGACCCACACCAGCCAGGCTCGAATCCGGCCCATCCTGTTACCTGCAGAGGGTTACCTGTGGGTGTGTTGTGGGGACGGGGGGGGGGGTATGCTCTGCTGCAGAAGCTGCTGATGCCTCAAGCTGCCAAGCAGGGGTGTGTGGCTAGTGTCACTGAAGAACGTGGTATAAACTGTACAGCCTATATCAGTAGGGGCGAACATATGGCACCCATGCACAGCAGACACACAGAGCCCTCTGTCAGCACATGAGCCAAGTTGCCCCAGCAGCCAGTTAAACTGATTTTTCTAAACTAAAGCCTCAGTGTTAAGGTTCAACAGTGGTGCTGGCACGGGGCGGGGGGGGGGGGATAAATAAGTGGGTTTTGGGTTGAAGTTTGAATCTTGTTTGTTTGAATCGAGCCGAGGGACTTGGACTGGCACCTGTCTACACTCCCTCACCTCTGTTGTTCCCAGTAGAATGCTTGGTATAATCTGATCTATCACAGAATTGAATCCAATCTCCACTTGCTACTTCTTTTCAGATTTACCTGTTTTTTTTTTTTCCCTCTCCTAGGAGAGAGGGACATGCTTTGCCACTGAGCTACACCCCAGCCCTTGGTTTGGCCATTTAGCCCTGCAACGTTCCTGCACCCACCATACTGCCTGGTCCTTAGTGTATCTCTGAATGGAGCTTGGGCACAGGGAGAGAGTGTGGCAGGGGGAGCAGCTGGAGCCCAGATACTGCCCCTTCCCCTTACCAGCTCAGGAGAAGGAAGGGCTGCACCTTGAGGGCTCCTGGGCTGGCCCAGAAGGGGGCAAATGGTGAGCACACAGCTCCAAGGACCACAACCCCTTTTCCACAGCGTCTCCCTCAGCAGGATCCTGTGGGGCGTGGGTGGGCAGGACATACAGAGCCTCCATTTCCCAGTGCCGGGGTACAGTGGCAGCTGTGGTGTGTGCCCAGGATCCTTTGAGACCAGGGCACTCATTTCACCAGCAGCTGGGAGCCCTGGCTGCTGAGGGCTCCCCACAGTCTCCTGAGGTGCTGTCTTACCCTGGGCCTGTCCTCTGCCCATAGCTGGGTACCCAGGCTGCAGGGCCTGTCCCTTGCCCCTTTGTGTCAGCTCCAGTGGGGACTGCAGGGCTTGGCCCCCATGTTCTGCTCCAGGGTAGGCTGAGACTCCTCCCTGCAGGTGGCTGAAGCCACCACAGACGAAGGGCAGAAAGGGGATCCTGCACTGTCTCTAGAAGCTTCCTGGGAGACTAACTTTAGATCTGTGACCTCTGGAAATGTGAGATGCAAGTTTGTGGTTGCTCCTGGGACCAGTACAGGGCTTACTGCACTATTCAGGGGCTGCCTGCACCATCAGGGTGACAAGGGACAGAAGCGGGTCCGGGAGGAGCTTCTACTCTCTGCCCCCTGACCTTGAACATCCTGGAGGCAAATGGGTGACTCCACCCGTAAGGAGACCCACAACCCCCGCTTGCTCTGCTCTGGACTTCTTGGGGCATCTTCAAAACCCGAGAGAAGTGGGAGGGTCAGATTTGGAACAGACGGGACATAGCTAGAAGAGTAGTCAGAACTTCACCAGCCTCCCTGTCCAACTCTGGGCTCCTCCCTGCAGATGGCCCTGTCCCAGTTGCCTCCCCATTTTCCAGACACTTTTACCCACCTATGAAAGAAAGCGGTGCCGTCCACCTAACTCTTTCCACAGGAGCAGCATGAACAGAGTGTGGCCCATCCGCCCAGGGGACTACTAGCCACCGCAGGGCTGAGCGCCGAGAGCTGAACATACAGCATTGGCCTGGAATGCCGGCTAGAGCCGCTTGGTCCCTCCCGGCAGGCCTCCAAACATTTACAAAGGGCTTCAGATGATCTCCAGAAGCCTACAGGACAGTGACACCATTACCCCTGTTGTAGAAAGTATTTCCAGTGTGATTTCTATCAGAGCAAAATATCTATAGCAAGATTTACCATGGAACCACGCTGGGAGCATGTAGAGCATCACCCTTTCCTGCAACTGCCACCGCCACCTATCTCCAGAAGGCTTCTGCTCTGTTCAACGGGGACTCCATGTCCATCAGTCACCTCCCTGAGCCCCACACCCAGCCTTGGCAACCACCCTTCCGCTTGCTGTCTGCTAAGTGCTGATTTTGGCACTCAGGAATCTGGTGTGAGCGGCCCCCAGCAGCACTGTCCCTTTGCGGCAGGTGTCTTTCACTCAGCATGGTGCCCTCTGGTTTGGGGTACCTGGTAGTGTGTGTGTCAGTGATTCCTGAGACTGGACAGTATTCATGCTACCCCATTTTACAGGAGGGACCACTGTGGCCAGACAGTTGGGTGTAACGGCCAGAATGCCAGAACGCACACCAGACACCTACCTGACCTCGGAGCCTCCACTACCCCATGATAGAACGCTGACTCTCCCAGGCTTCCCCTGCTTTGCACTCTTCTCTCCACATCAGCGGCTCCTCTGCTTTGCAAGGCCTGGCCTTTTACTTCCCATTGGATGTGACCTTTAGACCATGGGCAGGTGGGATGGTGGAACTTGGTGGGTCAGACTCCCCCAGACACAGCCTCTGCACGCTCAAGGCTGCTCACTGACCAGGATCACTGCCCAGAGTTGTGCAGTTAACAACCTGCACATTTGTACACCAATAGCCCTGCTTAATGGCCCTCAAGTTTCCCAAGTCCAGAGGCTTCTGGACTATGCTCTGAGAGCTGGGGGGAAAGGCACAGTTTAGAGACAGCTGCAGAGAGATGAGACGAGTGGCCAAGGGGGCTGGGGAGGCAGGAAGGAGGACCAGTGGGCTCACTGGGCATGGGCATCCATTCACTCTGAAACTACACAGTCGTGGTGACTGCGCACCCTCATGAATGTACTAACAACTACTGAACTGCACACGAAGTCAGTTAGAATGCTAATTTTTATGTGTGCTTGACTACAATCAGATGGGAGAGCAGGCATGGTGACACATGCTTGAAATCCTAGCACTCTGGGAAGCTAAGTCAGGAAGATCGCAAGGTAGAGCCCAGCTTGAGTAATTTAGTGATTTAGCAAGACTATCTCAAAACTTAAAAAAATAAAAAATAAAAAAGGACTGAGGATGTAGCTTTGTGCAAAGGCCTGGCTTCAGGCTCTAGTACTGGAACACAAAAAAGTGGTAGGACTCACCCTGTTTGGCCCAGTCTTTCCAGCCACAGCACTGTCTCAGGGATCTCATGTATCCAAGGTGCAGTCCAAACGCCATTTCTGTCTTCCAAGGAGCTGAATCTTGGCCTTTTCACTCCTGCCCCACTCCTAACTTTCCTGTTCTTAGTGCCACACTGAGCATCCAACTGAGGACATTTCCCTGCAGGATGCTCCATAAGGGTGTCAAATCTGGATTGGGTCCAGTGTTTTAATCAAATAATATGTTCCTAATGGTTGAATTTCCTGTGGCAGTGGCCCATCTGCCGGGAAGACATTCAGAGATTTGGGGTGGTTTGTAGGATTGCCCAAGCCCGCCTCCTCACAAGGCAGCTTTGGCTAGGCTGTTCCCGTAGGGCAGGGCTGAAGACTGTGCCTTGAGTTTGACATAAGCCCCAGCATCCCTAGAGGACGGGCCGTCCCTCCAGGACCTCCCCATCTGGGGCCAGGGTGCTGAGATGGCCAGGGTGCTGAGATGGGCTTGAAAATCACATCCTCTGGGCATTTCAGCTGCATCTGTAACAGAAGACTTTTTACCCAAGTTCTTTTCATAATTTACAGGAATTGTTTTGAGGATTAAATGTATTAATGTTTGTAAATCTTTAGAATGGTGCCTGGAATTGCGGAATTGCAGAGTGCTTTACTGGGTCTCTCTCTCTCTCTCACACACACACACACACACACACACACACACACACACACACACACGAAAGCCAAAGAAAGAAAGAAGGGGAGAGAGGGAAGAAGGGAAGAAGGGAGGAAGAAAAGAAAGGGAAAAATCTTAACAAAAACGGGTGGGAATAATTACTAGTAGAACATGGCTAAGAATAGGTGACACGTGATAGGTGGTGGTGATATTAATTCGCTTCTCTTGGGCGGTAGAAGGAGGGAGCAAAGCGTTCACTCTCCTTAGGGCCTCAATTTTTGCGCTGAGTTGTATCAAGGCATCGCACACCCTTTCCCCCACGCAGTCACATTCTCCCTTAAGGTGAGGCAGAGCGAGGAAGCGCTGACTTACATTTTCTGCGGGCAGCATCAGCTAACACTTTTGGTGTTCACTGGGTGCCTTGAGGTGCCCCTAAACTGAGCTGTGAGTTCCCTGGATGATCAGGGCCCCAAATCCCAGGACTCGAGATCCTCTAGCAACCCCGCGCAGTGTTGATTTCAGAAACTATAGGTTGTCCTTTGCTGCCACCTTGTGGCTGCAATGGAAGCTTTACATCCCATTTCCATCGTAAATCTAAACTCAGACGATGCCCGAGTACCTAGCTGCGGGCTTCCGGGTCCTCAGAAAGATCCTGCGAACACATCAGCAAAGAAGGCGGCCACCTTTTTGCCCTCAGTCATGGTCTGTGGAGAAGGAATGCCAGAAAGTCACATACAGATGAAAGTGAGCACAGGGGTTAGAGCATGATGCAGGCTGAGGGTGGGGGAGAAGAGGAGCGGGTTACTGCAAGTTGCAGTGATACATTTGTGACCAGAGGCCCGAGGATGAGTTCACCCAGGCCTGGCACAAAGTGTGTGTTTGCAAACAAAGGTCGAGTGAATGAGGACTTGAGTAAAAATGCTATCCAGAGCACGTTCCCTGGCACCTGTAGGCCAAACAGCTGAGGAATGGAAGAAAGGCGGTTATAGGAAGGAAGTGCCCCCGCCCCGCCCAGTGCAGCGGCCAGGCGAGGACTGGAATGATTTGGCTAAGACTCAACCTGAGGGTGCTGGGCAAATCGCATCCTCCCTCACTCTTCTGGCTACTTGAACCCCTTCCTTGCTTGAACACCTTTTCATCTCACATATTGAGTTTGCCTTATTTATTTAATGTCTGTCTCCCCTACTATAATGTAAACTCCACGGGGCAAGGACTTTTGTCTTGTGTACTTTTTGTTGACTAACTCTGGAGGAGTCCAGACACCAAAGTAAATGAATGATGCATGAGAGGGCCTGGGGCAGGACAACGGGTTCTGGGGAGTGGCCACGGGAGGAGCGGACTCAAACCCCAGTGCAGCAGGTGGAGACCAAGTTAATCCGAGCCACCAAAGACGTGCGCAGCGCAGAGTAGACCGGAAATTGTTCTGGAGGGGCGGGGTCCGTGGGGAGCAAAGTGTGTCCAGGCGGGGCTGTTCCTAGGGCAAAGTGTGGGGATTGAGCTCTTCCCCTGGTCTGTTGCCAGCATAAGGGCGGGGTCGTGTCCAAGAGTGGCCAATCTGGATCAAGGGCGGGGTTGGAGGTGGAGTCAAATACCACATGTAAATCAAGGGGCGGAACTAAATTTGGGCGGAATTAGAGCAGGGCGGGACCAGTGGGGGGGGGGACTTAGAGTTGGGCGGGGCCAGGCCGGGGCGGGGCCAGGCCGAGGTCTCCGCTGTCCCGGGTACTGGAACGCTCCAAGCTCTGCGAGTCTCACTCCCGCCCTCGAGTCTCTTCCTTGCTGGCCGGCCACACAGTGTGCAGGGCCCAAAGCCTCGCGCCAGGCTGCCGCGGTCATACTCTGCCCCTGGAGTTTCGCTCCTGACCAGGCAACTGCTGGGGTTGCTGCCGGTTCAGCGCCCCGACCAGGTGGACCCCCCCAGCAGCTTCTAGGGCAAAGGTGAGCAGAGCTGCTGGGGTCTGTGTCTGGGATTAGTGTGTGCATGCTTTTCTCTCTCTCTCTCTCTGTGTGTGTGTGTGTGTGTGTGTGTGTGAGTGTGTGTGCGTGTTTGCTTCGGTATGTGTAAATGTCAGTACACAACATGGGAACTGTGTGTGAGCATGGAGTTGGGTAAGTGTGTGCTTCAGTGAGTTGGGTGTGGGTGCAAAGTTGGGTGAGTGTGCAAGGGCAGTGTTGTGTGGGTGGAGTGTCGTGCACGTGTGCATGCCTGTGACAGAGACAGTGCAGAAACTGGTGAAGACTGTGTCTGGGTGTCTTGAAAGAAAATGGGAGACCAGGTACAAGGATATTTGGGGGGCTTTGGGTCAAGAATCTTTGGCAAGCTGTAGGGCACGTATGTGAAGAGTATGTGGGAGTGTAAGAACTGCAATTGTATCTGTTTTCTTGTGGGGCGTGGTGAGGGTAGTTCTGGGGTCCTCACGGTGAAGGGATGGTAATAGAGGAATGTGTGGGGTGGTATCTGCTCTTGGAGGGGTGAATATAGTCTGGGGCAGTGGGCTGTGGACAGAACCAGTCTCTGAGATCTGGCCTGGAGTAGTTTGGGAACCACCCTTGCCTTTCTCTTGGCGTACTGGGTTGGGGCAAAGTGTAAGTGTGGCCAAGGGGCTGGGCTTACCCTTGCACTCTTGCGCAGGGTTCCTGCTTCGTGAGAGTGGAGCTGCAACCTCACCAGTCATCCCTCACCCCAGGCTCTGTACTCAGCCCTGCCTGTGTGAGGAACATGGTGCAGAAATACCAGTCTCCTGTTCGAGTCTACAAGCACCCCTTTGAGCTGGTCATGGCAGTAAGTGACCCTCATCCTTGGGCCCCTCATGTGATGGTTGGAGAGACTCAGGTTGGCTGTAGTGGGAAGGAGAGGGAGCCTGCTGTGGCTCCTCTGCCTGGCTGTCCCTTCCCACCTTTACAGAACTTCTGGGATCCCTGACTAGTGACCTCATGTCCTCCTCTTGTTGAACCTATCTCTCCCTTCAGACTGCCAGAAAATAAAGACATCAGCAGCTGGGCTACTGGTGCCATAATAATACTGATGATGATGATGATGATGATGATGATGATGATGACAATGTGATAGCTGACATTCATTGAATGTTTACTGCTCAGAGTCTTCATATATGATGTTTCCTTCATTAGTCCTGTTTTACCTCAGGCTTATCCAGATGGAGAGGTGACACCAAATTCTGTACCTCAAGAGAGAAGGAGTCAGGGCTCAGAGCCTCAGCTTTAACCTTGAGACCCTCGGTGTCCTCCTTCTCACAACTCCCCCTTCTCCTTTGAGGAATTTGGAATGGGAGAAGAGAAGGGTGAGTTTGTAGGAAGGGTCTGGGCACAGGGCTGCTCAGGGTAGACTCAGAGAAGCTTTGCAACCCATCAGTGTTGTATAGCAAGTTAGCTGAATCTGAAACTGGACCAAGTTCTTGTTCTTTTGCACTAGTGGTCTTTGCACTTGTACAGGCAGACCTGGAATTCTGTCTTAGTGCCATTATTCTGCCTCTTTGAATTTTCCTTATGTGCCTGGGAAAATGAGGAGCAATGCTGTGGGATTGTAGTGAGGAGTAAGCAAGGTAATTCACATGCCTGGCACATAGTAGGCCTTGTACAGCAGTCTCTGTATCACACAAGGTCTTATAAATAAGTATACGGAAAGTGTCAGAATCTACCTCCATCTGCTCCACTCCCTAGCTGCACAACACCAGCATTCTTTGCAACACTTTCATGTCAGTTGGTGGCTATGTGTGTGTCCTACCTATATGATCCTACTGTATGCATCTACATGCATATGTATCTATAGTTAGATAATGAATTAAAAGACATCACAAAAACAATCTGTATGTGTTTTTCTGTGACATGCAAAAGATCCTAAGATAGCAGAAAGTCAAGGACAGGCCTGGGTCATATCCCAGCTTCACAATTGACTAGTTGGTCAAGTCGATTAACCTCTACGAGCTTCAAATTCTCATCTTTAAAATGGTGATCAACTGGTTCCCAAATTCTGACAGTATGTATGTGGAGGAAATGAATCAATTTATGCCAAATTCCTAGTACAGGATGTGACGCAGATGGAATGTTCTATCAGTCTGGCTACTGCTGTCAGTAAAGCCTGCGGCAGTGACTCTCCTTCTGTGTGGTGGATGGGACTCTGTGGGTGGTAAAGAGACCTAGCCATATGGTATCAGAAGATCTGGGTCCTTGATGCTCTGCTGTGTGTCCTTGGAAAGTCACTGACTTCTCTGAGCCTCAGTTTCTGTATTATTGTGTGTAATAGGGATGGTTATACACACTTCCTGTGATTGTCATGAGGATTAAAAGTGACTCTGTGTGTGTGTGTTGCCCAGCACAGGGTCCAGTCCATACAATGCAGATAATGAATGATAGATAAGTATAAATAATATTCCTTGGTCTAAGGCTCCTGACAGTTCTTATAGTTTGAGAAGACTTGAGGATTCATTCATTCATTCATTCATTCAACAGAAAAGAGAATCTGTCTCACCTTCTGGAACAGCACAGGGACCCATGTTTCTTGGCTATAAAGCTAGACACATAACTGTAGAATAGAAAATCAATTATTACATGGGTTTAATAAATCTAAACCTAAAAATGCTTACAGCCATTGTGCCTTAAAAACTCAACGTGCCCAAAATGCAGCACTTCAGACTGTATCAGTAGGGCCAGTGACACACTAGCTTTGCCCTTATTGGAGTGTATGAAACATACTTTGTAAGCTGTGTGTTCTGTAGTCAAGGGCAGAGCTCAGTTTACTCTCTGTTAACAGTCTCTAGGTATTAAAGTGGGTAGAATAAAAAACAAACCAGATTTCAAATATTTCTACCTGTGTTAATTTCAGTTACTCATGTATTTAAAAAGGTTTGTCACAGCCATGCTATCCTATCTTCTATGTAGTCCTTGTGGTCCCAAGCCAAGCACAGCGACACCTCCAACAAAGCCACTTTACCGACTATTTACAAAACATTATTGTCCCCAAAATAGCTGCATAACTCCACATAACTTGTGGCTGTGTAGGCATAAAGGGATTTTCTTCACTTAATGTCCCCTTTGTTTCCCGGTTAAACACTTGCTCTCAGTGTGGGTCAGATGCTGGGAGGTTTTCGGATGAACTCAGCTGTTTTCACTGAATGAGCAGTGGAGGAGATGGCCCTTTGGCTTTTGTTGAACAAAACTGACCAGAGAATTGAAACGCGTCTCGCTTCTTCAAAAGTTCACCCAAATGACTCAAGGTTAATTTTTTAAAATTATTTTTTCTCTTTCTCTTTTAAACAGTATCTAATTTAATCAATGGCTTTGATCTCTAAATTCCTGCCAAGTTTGCTTTTACAAGTGGGACTGGGCATCTGTCTTCTTTCCTGACAGCATTTTGAATTCCTGAAGTCAGGCCATGGGCTATTATTACCTGGCAGATACAATCTAGACAACAGGGGGATGTGAAGCATCCGAGGTTGGGGAGGGTCCTCCCTTTGAATGACAGGTCCAAGAAATGTAGGGGTGGGGAAGGGTTGGGGTGGGGTATTGTCTGTGTGGGTTCTAGATTATTTGTTTTCCAAATGGATACTAGTGGCAGTGCCCCCCTCCAATGTTGGATCCCTGTTCCAACCCACTGCAAATTCTGAAATTCTTCTGAGCCTCAGTTTCTCACCTGGAATATGGAGTTAAGAAAGGCCATTGGTGGGGAGCAGAGAGAGTTGAAGTGAAGATTAAATCCGGGGAGGTAGGTGCTTGAAACTGTCTTCTTACACTGTTAGAACTCCTGAAATACTGCTTGGGTTGATTTTATTTATGTATAGATTTGTTGACCTGAAAGCCAAATATTATACATTTCTTCCATGTAAAAGATGTTCACAAGCAATGGTTTTTAGTAGTCTCTCTCTCTGTCTGACTCTCTCTGTCTCTTTCTCTGTCACTCTTTGTCTCTCTTTCCTTCTCTCTTTCTCTATGCTTAGGATTGAACCCAGGGCCTCATGCATGCTAAGCATGTGCTATACCACTGAGTTATACTCAGTCCTTAGAACAGTGATGGTGAACCTATGGTACGCATGCTTGCGTTGGGCTGATTGTACCATTGAAAGCTCTAAATGGTTTGCTATCACAGTCCTAGAACATTTTTATCACCCTTCAAAAAAAGTACCATTACATACCTTTTAGCTATCATCTCCTAGCCTCACCTGTCACTCCACACCCCATACAACAATTCAGCTACTTCCTGTCCTATGAATTTGCCTTTTCTTTTTCTTTTTTTTTTTGGTACCAGGAATTGAACTCAGCGTCTTGTGCTTGCCAGGCAAGCGCTGTGCTGCTGAGCTACATCCCTGGCTGAATTAGCCTTTTCTGCAAATGGCATCTTATAATTTATAGTCATTTTTGTCTAGCTTCTCTCACTTAATATATTAAAAAAAACACTTTGTTCAGGTATGATTGACATGCTATAAGGCTGAGTGTTTACATGTTGAGTTTGAGCATGTACCTATGAGTGTGATATTTTCTTTTCTTTTCTTTCTTTTTTTTTTTTTTTTTTTTTTTTGTCTTTTTCCTTTTTATCGGTACCGGGGATCGAACTCACGACTGCCTGCTTGCAAGGCAGGCGCTTATGCAGCTGAGCTAAATCCCCAACCCCTAAGTGTGATATTTTCAAGGCTTACCCATATGGTAGTATGTTTAGGTACTACATTCCTTTTAATGGCCAAATAATATTTAATTGTGTGAATTATTACATTTTGTCTATCCATTCATTAGTTGGTGGACATGTAAAGTGTGTCCAGTTTTGGCTTATTATGATTAATGCTGCTATAAATCTTTGTGCACAGGTGTTTGTGTGGATATAATCCTTCCAGAGACATCTTGCTGTGCATGGTGGTGGGTTTGGTGTGGATCTATGTGGTCTATTTTATTTTATTTATTTATTTATTTATTTTATTTTTTGGTACTGGGGATTGAACTGATAACCTTGCACTTGCCAAGCTGGCATGAGGCCACTGAGCTATATCCCTGGCCCTCTGCAGTCTATTTTAAATTATATTCAGCAGACTCATCTATAGTACTTGCTTGGTCTGAGAGAGTATTCTGAGTCCATTTGGATTTTTTCTCCTGGTACTAGGGGAAAGTTTAAAAAAATTTTTTTTTAATTTTTACGTTTTGAGACAGAGTCTTGCTAAGTTGCTCAGGCTAAACTTGAACTTGTGATCTTTTGCCTCAGCCTCCCAAGTAGCTGGGTTTACAGGCCTGTGCCAATAGGTCTGCCTATAAGACACTCTAATGATTTCATTTTAACCTGATTACTTCTATAAAGATCCTGTGTCCAAATAAAATCACATTTGCGGATATCTGGGATTAGGATATCTACGTATCTGTTTTAAGGGAATAGATTCAGCCTGTCACACTCAGCAAATAGCATATCAGGAATTGGAACTTAGAGAATCTGACCCCACAGACTGAGCTCACAGCCAGATATTTGAGATTCTGGTTCCGACAATCCTGAGACATTTGGGGACCAGCCTGGGCAGAGTGGCTTCAGGAATGACCTGGTCCTCTGTTGTAGCTGTTGCCCTGGAGCCTTATTGGGCTACATACCCTATGGCTTCAGGTCACCTGTGATTCTCAAAGCCAAAAAAGGAAGTTGGCTGGGAGTAGGATTTCTTAAAGGGGAGGCTCTGTCACTTAATGATTAAATGTTAAAATATTTAAAGACCTGGCCTTGTTGTACTGATAAGCAACTTGTAATTTAGCAAATGGATTGTTCAACAGTAGTAGCCTGAAAAGGGAAATTCTTGCAGGTCA